GGGTAGTAGGGTTAGAGCCTGAATAAGATTGTGGTGTTAACAGTGTCTCCAAAGGTGGAGCAGATGGTTCAGGATGTATCATATCCTGTAGTTGCTGAACAGATTCTGCTTGCTGTCTCAGCGTTTGCTGTGGAGCTGCTTTCTCTTGACGCTGAGCTCCACTTGTACTTAATGACTGCTCAATATGAGCTTGCAGCTGTTGCACAAGTTTTTCCATTTGTTGTTGACACTCTAATAGATCTTTTTTCAATGCATCGTTACAATTTATTGGTTCTTCTCCTGCCGGTGGTCACCCATCTGAATGCACCGACATGTCATCGTCTGGCGGGGAGAGGGACGTCTTGAGGCTTTCCCCAGTGAACAGTAGATGGCAGTGAATGATAGATTTTCGGCTTGCACTCTGGGGTTCTTATTTCCGCTGACATTCGGAGCTCCGCCTGGCTGGGGCTGACGCGGTCTCCTTCAGGAGACATTTCTACATCCACATTTAGTGGGGTTATTTCCGGGCTGGGCTGCCCTGGTGTGGAACCACCCGCGCCGGTACTTTCCTGAGTTTTTAAAAGTTCTGAGACCGAGCTACATTGCTTTCCTGTGAGCTCCTTTACCGGCCTGTTATAAATGCAAAGGCAAATTTAGGTTAAATAAAAGAACAGTTTATTATAAAACAATTTTTATAATAAAAATAAACAACGAGGAAAAACCACAATAAAATAAACAGCGCAGCGCTGGGTGGACAGGGGTCTATACCCAAAGGTATAGGTGTTCCCAAATCCACGAAGGAGGGTAGACTGTCCGGGGTTTTTATAGGGATTTTGTGTCCTGAGGCCAAAACTCTGAGCAGTTACTGTTCAACAAAGAGTTTAGATGGTTGGTTGAATGAATTTCCTGGAACCGTGGAACTGAATCAATAGACGACTGGGCAGAGTCCTCTCGTATGTAAAAGTTCTGAGTGCTTCTTGATTGTATCTTCGGTTTGGGCTCTCAGAGTGAAGTATCCAAGTCCGGTGTGGAGTCGACAGATATCTTGGCTGGGCTTCCACTTATTGTCCGGCCTGTTTGCATCTTCAGTCGGGGTTTGCAGGAAGGGGTG